CATTTTTTCCCCCTTTTCCTTAGCTGTGCTACTCCCTTTTATTCTGTTGGCTTTTGAAAGCCAATAGAATAGACTCTCTTGAATAGAGTCTAATTCTATTGGCTTTCCAAAGCCAATAGGAATTGTCCAGGCTGTCTCTGCCCTGATGAGCCCACCAAAAGTCCCATTCTGCAAACGGTGCTGCACCAGTTAAGTAGTCCTCGACTTACGACTGGTTGAGTAGTCCTCGACTTACGACCGGTTGGGGGTCGCAGCATTAAAAAGGTTGAGAACCACTGTTTTAGAGACTGAGTGCCCAAGAACTGGCCCCACCCTGTCCCGCCACCTTGCTTCAACCCCCCATCCTGCCCGCTCCATCCCCACCTGGCCCACCCACAGGGCCATTCACTGCCTCCACAGCCCGCCGCAGATTGCCCAGGCAGCCCAGCAGCACAATGGCAGCCACATCCCCTGCCCGCACCCCACAGCATCAACTGCGCATGATGGGGCGCGAGGGCGGAGTCTTCTCCCCGCTGCCTGGCTGCCATGTCCTTGGCTGTGCTGCTCCACGCGAGCTGCCTCAGGGGCAACTCTCCTCCTGGGTGCTGCTGGTGACAAGGGGGGAGGCGGGGCTGGGGCGACAGCGCACGTGCCCACAGAGAGGGCTCTGAGTGCCGCCTGTGTGGCACACGTGCCATAGGTTCGCCACCACTGCCCTCTGCCATTTCAGACAAGTGGCTGTCCAGTCTCTTTTTAAGAACCTCCAGTGATGGAGCACTAACAGCTTCTGAAGGCAAGCCGTTCCATTGGTTAATTGTTCTCACTGCCAGGAAATTTCTCCTGAGTTCTAGGCTGACTGTCTCTTTGACCATTTTCTGTCTGTTACTTCTTGAGGGCAGCTAGGCCTCCGGTGCTCTGGAGAATAGGTCAACCCCTTTTTCTTTGTGACAGGCCCTCAGATATTGGAATCCTGCTATCTTGTCCTCCCCCCTCCCCTTAGTCCTTCCCTTCATTAAACTAGACCTTCTATGGCAGTGTTTCTCAATCTTGACAATTTTAAGGCATGTGGACTTCAACTCCCAGAATTCCTCAGCCAGCTTTGCTGGCTGTGGAATTCTGGGAGTTGAAGTCCACATGCCTTAAAATTGTCAAGGTTGAGAAACACTGTTAATATGCCATTCTTCACTCCCTGCAGGATAGTAGCAAGGGGGAAAAGGTAGAAATTAATCATAAGGGGTTTTTTTATGGCAAGTAAAAGCAAATATATAACAAATCCCACTCACTGTTATGTGAAATGCTGCTGCTACACTCTTGAGGTCAGTTTTTTTCCTTCCTTATGCACAGTTCATTTCCCAATGTGACAGAGCCAGAAAGAACATGGGTACGTACGTCTTCCCATATTGCAGCTTAGCAGCTTTTTTTTTCGAGGGCAGCAGATTCTGTCACTTTATTGGCAAGATTTGTTTTCTCTAATGAATTTTCACTGAACAGATTTGCCAACTATTTTTTCACCACCGCAATGACACAAGCCCCTAAAGCAAAAAAATTTTTTTTTCTTTTTTTACATTTTTATCACTGGGGCAATTTAGTCTGCTTCCTGGAACACTTGAATATTTTTTTTCCTGATGAGAATGTTTTGCTTATTTAAAAGATATCGTTCCCATGGATTCAGCTTGATTCCTGGTTGTCCCAAGGTGTTTTTCAAAGCCAAAGTGGACTTCCTTCTTTTTTTTCTTGAAAACCTTTCACTTCTCATCCAAAAAACCTCTTCAGTTCTGACTGCATGATGGGAAATGGTTGATTCCTGGTGATTTTGTGGACCTAATCCATTCTTTTGTAAGTTTTGTATGATTTGCTGATACTTTTTCTCTTATTGTTTTTAATGTGTGGTTAGCCATCAAGAGTTCAATTTGCAACAAAAGTAGCCTATGCTAAATGAATTACTTTAATAAATACAACAGTATGGCTTTATTGAAATAATGCTGATCTGGGCTGATATTGCCTTCTCCTGTAATGGTATGTGGTTGATCGATTATATATTTATTTCCCAGTCAGCTGCTCTGTTTCCCCCCCCCCAAGAATTGAGAAAGTCAATTAGGCGCTGAGCAATTGCAAAATAGAAGCCACCAGTTACACAACAATGTCACTTTAAATAAAAATCAAGATAGGCTCGTGCATCTAAAAGTTTCAATTAAATTTGAGTATCGTGGTTTTGTTGTTCTATTCTGGGCCTATATTTTGCTGTGACATAAATCAGCTAGATCTGAGGCATAACCATTCTGGCAGACGGTTGCTAGCACAGTGTCATTTTTTAAAAAATGTCCAAAGATCAATTGACACAAAGTAATATTTCCTTTTAACAAAAGAAGCTGTGCGTATTATTGTTTCTTTTTTTTCCAAAAAGGAAACTAAAATTAATATTGAAATAAAAGTGTATTCTTTGGTCTCCCTTAACAGGTAATAGAAGGAAAAATCTTCTTCAAAATATCTCAACTCCCAGTGACTATGACATGTCACACCTATGCACTGTTTTTGGCATCAACAATGGAAGCAGTCTGACTCCATCTTCTTTTGCTGTTTTTCCTCAGCTTCTCACTTAACCTTCAGTTCTAGGATTCTCTGGTGCAGTGTGTCTCAACCTTGACAATTTTAAGGCATGTGGACTTCAACTCCCAGAATTCCACAGCCAGCTGGTGTAATGATGTAACCTAGTTGAAACCCAGTTTCACAACACCTTGAGGGCAGCTAAGCCAAATGCTGTATTTTTTTCTGCTTTCCAGGAAAATCTGCAGTTTATTTGACAAAGACAAGATTTTGTATGCACAAAGACAGGATTGCATACTAGCCGTTTGAGGCAGCCATTTTGCCCAGGTATAGTATATTAGGTTATTGTATCTCTTTTTCCTGGGTTTACACAATATGTTGAACTAATCAAATAAGCTGGGTTTTGCACCACAGGTTAAAGTATCATATTCAAAAAAAAAAAACCTAGTCAAAGCTATTTCAGCTTTGTAATGTGCTGGAAATATATCTACTAGATCTTGAACTGGCCTAATTAAAAATGTAATATGGACACAGCTTTAGAGCTGATGTAATATTCAGCCTTTTCAGTCTGTTTCAGTATCTGATCCTTGATCTTAGCTGCTGTAATGTTGAATATGTACTTTCATAAGGATATGTCATGTATTTTGGTTCATATGTCAATGAAAGCTCATAAAAGACAAAAGAAAAAGTCACTAGAACTGTCAGCACCATTTTTTTTTAAAGCTCATATTCTCTGTCTTTGTGTGTATGTGTGTGTTTGTGTGTTTGTGTATGTGTATGTTATTTTTTGTGTTTAATGACAGATCTGCCATCCTCATTACTTCCCTCACAGATGCCTACATGAATGGATTAACACACAGACACAACTCTTGAATCTCAGAACTAGCCAGCAGAAGATGTTCAGCTTGCTCAGAAAATATTGTGGTTCCATAAAACATATTTTAGGACCTACACTATCCCTTATACTCATCCGGAGTTCTTTTGAATTGACACAAGTTTTGAGCTTGGCACAATAGCTGGCTGGGGAATTATGGGAGTTGAAGTCCATACATCTTCAAGTTGCCAAGGTTGAGAAATACTGGTCTAGGCCAGACATGTCAAACTCGCGACGTCACGTGACATCACGCAACGTATCGGAACTTTTTCTCCATTGCTGGCAATGGGGTGGGCACAGTTTCCTTGTGATGCATCCAGCCCACAGACCGGCAGTTTGACATCCCTGGTCTAGGCCATTACAGCTGGAACTAGTTTAGATGTACATTTTATAGTTAGGTTCCCTATATTATCAGAAACAGAACAGATAGTCCTACCAAATATTGCTAGGACAAGAACTGAAATTCAAAACATCTGCAAGACATTAGAATGCCTGTTCCTATATACTATTCATCTCTACTGGTCCAAGTGGATTGAGCAGAATTGGCATGGCATTAAAGACTGCCAGCTAGTGGGGACATCCTATCTTTGGAGATCAGAATGGCCCCAATCCTGTTAGCCTTTCATTAGCTCCTAAAAACCTGGCTGTGTTCCAGTGCCTGGGATGCTGAATGTATCAAGGCCCCCATTTCCTGGCTGTATTGTTAACTGGCCAAGTGTCTTGCTCCTATATATATTTCGTCTGGATGTTTTTTATTCTTTTAAAATGTTTTCATAGTTTTGGCTGTATTATATTTTTTTGAATTGTAAGCTGTTCAGAGTTATTGAGTGAGATAGGCAGTGAACTGAAATTTCTAAATGTAAATATTTAGTTCATCATGTAGTTCATCATGTAGCCGAAAAGGAAGATAGCTGTAAACATGTGGGAGATGCAAAGTTTGCAAAAGTTCAAAAATAATAGTATAACAGCATATAATGATAGTAGCTGTGGGGGGGGGAATGGAAATTTGGGAGGGTATAAACATAACTGAATGAAATAGACCAGAAAAAAACCCAGATCTGAACAGAAATATTATATATACAAGCTTCTTGTTACAAAATCCACTTATTAGTACTATAATTTATGTAAAAAGGCAAAATCAGAAAATATGGACTATTATCCAGATCTGTGCTGCAAATCCCTCTATTTCCATAGTTAATCATATAATTCTTCAATTGTGCCAGAATGATAGAAATATAACTTCATTTTTTTAATGGAAATACAAAAATGAATAATAAATATGTGACAATTTACAATAATATTAAAAGCTCTAGCATTCATACCCACTATGAACTTGTTCAGATAGGATTTAAACTGGTTCACTCACAAGACCAGGGATCTACAACATTAAGACCTGTGGACTTCAACTCCAGAATTCCTCAAGCAGCCATGATGGCTGAGGAATTCTGGGAGTTGAAGTCCACAGGTCTTAAAAGTGCCAGGTTTGAAGACCCCTGCACAAGACCCCTCATTCTAGAGACCCATTGCCTTGTCTTACCAGGGTCCAGGTTGTACCTGGAAGAGAACAGAATCATGTAATCCCTTCAGGACAGTTTTCACTTACTGCTGACATGATGAGCTCCCCACCTAAGTTCTGGATTTCAGCTTTGACTTGGCTGCAGATTTTGAGTTGATGGGAGTAGAGCTTGATCTGTTCCAAGTAAGCGAGTAAGTCTTGCTTACATGACCAATCTGGACACTAAAAAATAAAAGCAAAAAAGCATAGTAGTTTGATTGTGCTAACTATTTTTAACATCGGGGATCCAAAAGAAAAGTGAACTAAGAGAGTGCAATAACATTTTTGCCCCCAATTTCCTTCTCTTTTTTTTTTTCATTTTTAAACAGATACCCATACCATTTAAACTGATTTCAGAAGAAGCTCTTACGCGTTTCAAAAAAGGTTTCTAGATGCTTGGAGGGAAAGGTCAGGGAAATGAAATGAAAACAAAATATCCCTCGAAGGTGAGCAACTGTCTTTTGGATTTTGGCCATCTCACCATCTTGTTTACGACTGCTGTCTTTCCTTCAGGCATCTCAGCTTTCTTATGCTCCTTATCAAAATTTATGTAACAAAGCATTGCTTGCTCGAACTCAGAGGCTGGTAAGCGTCATAAATTTACAGTTGCTCTTTTGTGCTGCTGCCAGTTTACTTATTTGATCGCATTATGCTGTTTTTGCAAGAGGTACATAATAATGAACTCCATGTTGTTTTATGCATCTAATACCTATGTGGTGGTGATGGTGTTGTTTCGACTTTATTTTTATGTCTGGAACAACAAACACAAATGTCCCCTTCAGGAATAAAATATTATGGAGCTGAATAATCACCCATACTTGTCATTCTGGAAAAAAATATTATGAATGGTATCTTCAGTCTGTGCTCTCTTATTTCAGTGAGTGAGCTTCTGTGACCCGAATATGAAAAAGACAGCTGACGGCACTTTCAGATATAGCTGCTTCCACTGCTCAGTCTCTCCAACAGTTTGAAACTGACCCTCCATTGTTTTCCGTTCTGCTGAAGTCACACAGAAAACAAGGAGAGATCAACATGAGGCCCTCAGTATTTCCTCCAGGTGACCAGTGAAAAAGTGTAAAATTAAAGAAATAAGCAAGTCATCGCAGAAAATATCAAAAACACCTTTCCTTCATTCACAGTAATATTATTATTATTATTATTATTATTATTATTATTATTAATAATAATAATAACAATAACAAAAACAACAACAACAACAATAATAATAAAGTTGGAAGGGACTTTGGAGGTCATCTAGTCCAACCCCCTGCTCAGGAAGGAAACCCTTTACCATTTCAGACAAATGGCTGTCCAGTCTTCTTCTTAAAAACATCCAGTGTTGGAGCATTCACAGCTTCTGGAGGCAGGTTGTTCCATTGGTTAATTGTTCTAACTATCAGGAAGTTTCTCCTTAATTCTAGGTTGCTTCTCTCCTTGGTTAGTTTCCATCTGTTGCTTCTTGTCTTGCCTTCAGGTGCTTTGGAGAATAGCTTGACCCCCTCTTCTTTGTGGCAGCCCCTGAGATATTGGTACACTGCTATCATGTCCCCCCTTGTCCTTCTCTTTGTTAAACTAGACATACCCAATTCCAGCAACTGTTCCTCATATGTTTTAGCCTCCAGTCCCCTAGCTTGACTCCCTCTTCTTTGTAGCAGCCCCTGAGATATTGGAACACTGCTATCATGGCACTCCTAGTCCTTCTCCAGAGATCTTCAAACTTGTCCCTTTTATGACTTGCGGACTTCAACTCCCAGAATTCCTCAGCCAGACATACCCAATTCCAGCAACCGTTCCTTATATGTTTTAGCCTCCATTCCCCTGATCATCTTTGTTGCTCTTCTCTGTACTCTTTCTAGAGTCTCAACATCTTTTTTACATCTTTTTTACATTCCTTATAAATATTATGATTCTCTACCCAGACTGAAAGATCCTTAATAAAGAGACATGCAGCACGCAGCTATTTTGAGAAAAATCATATTTGTCCAATTACTTCCTTCATTTTCCCTCACTAATAATTTTGCAGAACTAAAAATTGTTCATGTCACTAAAACATTGTACATGTTTTTACAGTAATACACTCCATTGAATTAAGATGCTTTGTCCCAAGTATTTTTTTTTTGCACCCCCAACAATGGACGTAAGATTCTTTATCTTTGTTTCCTTCATTTTTCAGAAAAGAAACCTACACTTAGCCTATTCCTGTGTGTGTGTGTGTGTGTGTGTGTGTGTGTGTGTGTGTGTATCTTTATGTCTCTATGTGGCTTTGAGTCTGTGTTCACTTCTGACAACTGCCTGGACTGGTCCCTGCAGTTTTCTTGGTCAGGTTTTTCAGAAGTGATTTGCCATTGCCTGCTTCCTAGGGCTGAGATGGAATGACTGGCCAAGGTCACCTAAAGCAGGACTAGAACTCACAGACTCCTGGTTTACAGCCTGGAGCGTTAATCATGCACTTAACTTAACTCTCAGAGCCTATTCTTAGATCATTACAAGCATCCTATTCTCCGGATAAGGTGAGATCCATCTTCAGTGACATAATATTCAACACAGAAGTAATGAAATAGCAAGAATTCAAAAAGAGATCTTAAATGTTCTTCTACAATAAACAGCAGAAGCAGATCCTAAGAACTTTAAATGGATTATTGTGATTGGAATCTATAAACTACTAAAACCTATCTATTTGTAACCTTCAATTAGTCGAAATGGTATGTCCTAGGTCTAGGACAACAATTTTTGAATCAAGGCAGTTCACATCTGCTAGCTTGCAAAATGTGCGGAAAATCCAGGAGCCACTAATTCCGTGTAATTGAAATTTCAAGGCTCTTCACACCGGTTGTATTTGCAGATTTGTGACTGCTGCAGCCTCGCAAAAGTCAGTTATGGTCACAGGATCATGATTTCCAATGCTTCCTGCCCGTTTCCCACAAGCAAAACCAATGGGAAGCTAGCAAGGTCAGATCCGGTCCCACTGCTTTTTTTGCCCCCGGTTGGAGTTATCCTATTAATCTTTTCAGGTAAGGAAATATTGACAAAAGAAGACCTAACAGATCACAGGTTGTCTGGATGGAAGTGAGAAATGGTATTATCATTTAACACTTTGCAATAAATAAGAGAAAATTTGCTACTTATTTATAATTCAAAATGTTAAACATAAAAATGAATAATAATAGAAAACCCCTCTAATTGTATTTATTTATTTAAGAAAAAATTTATGGCTGCTCAGTTCACTCTCATAGTGACCCTGGGTTGCTTACAAGGATATACTGTATTAAGTAAATCTTCAGTTTCACCTCAGCAAATTTCCAAGGAAAGATAATTATTTCCCTCATTCTACTGATTTCAGAATTTGCAGGACTAAAATTCACGTTCATAATCCAATACAGAGCAAAATATGAAAACAAAGCAATAGCAATCTAGATGAATTTGACTGCAGCACAGATTTCAATGGGGTCTCACTACATAACAGATAAAGTGGAACTGAATTTATATTATTCTAAAGAGCCAGACGACTATCTTTAGTGCCCTGATTGTTCTTATCAAGATCATATTACTGTAATTTTTGTCTTAATCACCTTAACATATTTAAAATCTTTTTATGGTAATTTACTGATATGAACTAAGACAGAATCCTAATAAAAATAATGTCTTAATTAGAATTTGCTTTTCAGTTTTCTGGCTTGTACAGTTTTGCAGCATAAGCATAAAATGGATTTTTATAACACTGTGTGATCAGCTTTTTTTCCCAAAGTGATTTCTAGTTAATATTAAGGAAGACTGTTTGATGGTTCTTCAACAGGCACTAATGTGTGAAAATTTTCTTCCTAAGTACATAATTCAGTTGGGGGGATTGGGGGGGGGAAGTGAGAAAATATTTCATGCAAAGTTTCCAGTGAGGAAAAATAAGGTAGCTGCATTGGGATCCATGTAAATTACTGAACTGAAAGACATGCCACACACCATAACTGACTGGATTTGCAATTCATTGCAAGCTGTTCCCTATGGAGGAGAAACATCTATGTGGATCTCAACAACCACTTTCCAGAATATCCAGAACTGCATCCAGTTTTGGTCACCACAATGTAAAAAAGATGTTGAGACTCTAGAAAGAGTACAGAGAAGAGCAACAAAGATGATTAGGGGACTGGAGGCTAAAACATATAAGGAATGGTTGCTGGAATTAGGTATGTCTAGTTTAACAGAGAGAAGGACGAGGGGGGACATGATAGCAGTGTTCCAACATCTCAGGGGTTGTCACAAGGAAGAGGGAATCAAGCTATTCTCCAAAACACCTGAAAGCAGGACAAGAAGCAACAGATGGAAACTAACCAAAGAGAAAAGCAAAGAACTAAGGAGAAATTTCCTGACAGTGAGAACAATTAATCAGTGGAACAACCTGCCTCCAGGAGCTGTGAATGCTCCAACACTGGAAGTTTTTAAGAAGAGACTGGACAGCCATTTGCCTGAAATGGAATAGGGTTTATTGCTTGAGCATGGGGTTGGACTAGAAGACCTCCAAGGTCCCTTCCAACTTTGTTGTTGTTGTTGTTGTTGTTAATAATACTACTAATAATAAACCCCCAGTGAGGCACTACCTTGATGTGGTTGTGGGGCTTGTGTACTCTGAGGAAGATGAGAGCTATGCCAGAGGTTCAACCATACTGGACAGGTCTCATCAGAGGAGTCAGACAAAGAGTGTCTCTTCCATAAAAAAGTATGGTGAGACGTAAATTTCAGAATGCTATACCAGCTCAGATGTCGCCCGGGTTAGCAAGGTCCGTGCTAGATATCGGAGTTCCTGGATATCTGGTGAAAAATGGGTTACAGGACTCAGGACTGTTAGCTGAGCAACCAGGGCCAGAAGCTGCAGAACTACTGGAAGAAAAGGTGTTTACCAGTCACAGATACACAGTGATTGAAAACAAAGAAATAATGATCTGTTACTACAGATCAAGTCCAACAAGAAGAGGACATCTAAAACAAATGCAGCAGTTCTGGAAAGAACAACATCCAGAATCAGAAATAACAGAACAGAGACTAGCAGATCAACGCCAATTTATAATATGAAATAAAGTATTCACAGAAACAGAATTGGACGAACTGCAAAGGTTTACCCAGGGCAAAGAAATCAAAGCCTTGCCAGAAGTAATTCAGAATGTAGAGGCAAACCAGGGGGAGTTGGCAGTGAA